TATAGGCTATATATTGTAGGATGCTAAGAGTTTAAAGAACTACCAGTGGCATATATTTATTTGAGCATCAAATTCAATACAAGAGTTTGAAGTCAGTGCCATGAGAGCTTTATTTTTTTGTTTTTAAATATGTCCATGAAAGTAAATATATCCTGGTGATATAACGTGCAGCATACTGACTATAGTTAATGCTGCATTATGTATTTGAAACATTGCTAAGATGATAGATCTTAAAAGCTCTCACCACAAGAAAAGAAATTTGTGATTGTGTATGATGAGGGATGTTAACTAGACTACTGTGGTGATGATTTCACAATATATACAAATATGTTGTATACCTGGAACTAATGTAAGGTGGTATGTCAATTAGATCTCAATAAAAATAAGTATGTTCATGTAACAAATATTAAACTATATTTGGCACATAGCACGCTTTTGGGTAAAGCTCTTATCGGTAGTGGGGGATCCCCGGGTGACTCGGCGGTTTAGCGCCTGCCTTTGGCCCAGGGTGTTATCCTGGAGTCCTGGGATCGAGTCCCACATCGGACTCTCTGCATGGAGCCCGCTGCTCCCTCTGCCTGTGTCTCTGTCTCTCTCATGAATAAATAAATAAAATCTTTTTTTTTTTTTTAAAAAAAAGCTCTTATCAGTAGTGAACAGGCCACAAGAGAATATATTTATAATTCTTAAAGGTTTTGCTGTATGGGCACCTGGGCAGCTCAGCAGTTGAGCGTCTGCCTTTGGCTCAGGTCATGACCCCGGGGTCCTGGGATCGAGTCCTGCATTGGACTCCCTGCATGGAGCCTGCTTCTCCCTCTGCCTGTGTCTCTGCCTCTCATTCTGTGTCTCTCATGAATAATTAAAATCTTTAAAACAAAACAAAAAAACAAAGGTTTCACTGTAGTACCTACTTTTAGTATTTCGGAGTAGACATTTATCACTTAAAGGCTTGACATCTCATTGGAAATTTCATTCAATAATCATATTCTCAGGGCTAAAAAGAATTCAGTATAGAATTTATTACTGCACAGATCACCACACATTTGAACTCCTAGAGAGAGATGCTATTTAAACATCGTGACCTTTATTTTATTATGTACTCAAGTTTATAGTGCACATAGGATGGATTCAAAATATATAGAACAAAACCCCACAAATAGTATTTTGTGGCCAAAGCCACCTCTAGACCAGTTATTTGGAATTCAAAATATACAAAACAGCTTTATAAAGGAGTCTACAACTTTAAATGCTGATTAGTGGTTAAAAAAAATGGTATTAGTAAAAAATCTAATCCACGTCTTGGTGGGAATAGAGTGTATTGGGGCAAGTACAACAAAGCAAGTAATCACTTGTAGCTGGCCTCTTTTTTTGAAAACTGGAAGCTGTCTCAGAAAACTTATGAAAAAAGTAAGTCTAAGACAAAGTTATGTTTCTAGAATTCAGTTCTTTTTGAGCATTTACATATGTTACTAATCGGCAGTAGGCTGATGCCTCCTGGTTACGGACTGGCCCGCGGAGTCAACTAACGCAACACACGAGGCCCAGGTGCGCCTGCTTACACTTTCAGTCCAAGTACACTTCGGCGCTCACGGCGTTGGGCCGTGGCCTTGGCCACTTCCATCGTTGGGGTAAAAATAAACAATAAGTAGGATCGACTGAGTTGTGTTTGGAAGGGTTCTCAATAAATGAGACATTGTGTGAAGTGCCTGGCAAACAGAAAGAGCCCAATAAATGTGAGCTTTTAAAAAATTCTGCAATTGCATTGGATAGAACCCAGAAATAGCAGTGAAGGCTGTGGCTGCTTCCAACCTGGGAGGCCTGTCTGCAACCATTTTATTCAAACTTTTGAGGGAAAATAGTGTGGTACCGTGTTCTGGTTCACAGGATAAAAATAAAGTTGGGCTAACTATAATTTTGCCCTGCTCCCTTGGTACAGTTCTGAACTCACTTTGAAATTAGCAATCTTGGGTGGACTTCCTGATATTTTTATCAGACTTGCTGACAAAGTACCTATTCTCCCACATGCTTTTTATGGAGGGAGGGGGCAATAATATTCCCTACAAAAATGAATGGGGTGAGTGACAGTGCCCTGCTGGGTCAATATCTTAGGTAAGTTCTGAATAGAAATAAAAGAACAGACAACACAAAGGTCTAGAGACATCGCGGAAAGCCTCTTTTAGTCACTTCACAGAGACCCTTCTCCCAAAACTAGGGACTGTATTTTTTCCTTCAAGGGTCACTGACCCACAGGGGAAAATGATTAGTAAAGGGTCGTACAGGAGGTGAAAAGGAACTTTATCACTGGATTACTTTATGAAGTCACAGTAAAAAGAGAAATTTAGCTAATTTAAAATTCAAGAGCAGAATGACACAAAACTTTATTCAATATGTTCAATGATAGGCATTCTACTTCGGTTCCAGTATGGCCAATAATGGGGTGAGGAAAAGCAGTGGAAAAACAAAAGAGACGAGGAATGAAACTCAGAGGAAGAGATCAACACAGAGCCAAGAATAAACACACAAGACACTGGGGAGAGGCTTAGGGGATCACTTTTTTTAAAAAGTAACACCCCGTCACAAATCTTCCTCTGTGCTGTGGTCTTCAGGAATAACACTTTTCACTACCACTTTTTAACAAAAGCTATTCTTCACAATTTATTAACTCTCCTTATCCTTGAAATTCTTACTGGGCCTACTGCTGTTCAGTAGGACTTTCTCTGATGATGATAATGTTCTAGATATGGGCTGTCTGATGCCATGGCAACAGGTGACTCCTGAGCCCTTGTACTGTGGCTAGTGCAATAAATGGAATTTTTAAAAAGATCTCATTTTAACTAAATAGTCACATGTGGCTATCGTCTTGGACAGTAAGTTCTAAGAAACATTTACGGTGTGGACGTTGATGGTGGGAGGCATACTAGTCTCAAGGCCGTGTAGAGATGACTGAGGACGGATGACATTAAATCTCAGAATGAATTACAGCCTTTTAGCCGTGTCTTCCCCCATCCTTAAGGCGTCTCCTCTCCTTACCATGCGTGAAGCACTCAATAAATACTATTGCCCATAATCACACTAGTGGCCAAACTAGCCTCAGCAGACTCACGTAGGAGTGCAGCTTCTGTTCCAGATGAAGCGCTCAGTGGATCTAGATGAACTGCTTTGGGCCCCATGTATGAACCCCATTATTGAGAACAGTCCCACCTCCATCGTCCCTCACAGAAACACGCTGAACGTGAGCAGCTGTCCAAGTTCTTTGCCCGTCTCCTAAGCACGCTGTCCCTGACCACTTGGTTGACTGTCCTCTACTCCCTTTAATTCTCTCTCCAATACTCTTCTTGCTCGTGTTTCCTAGATTACCAACAATGCTCTCTGAGGGGGTGAAGACTCTAAGTCATTAGTTGGCATTGGGGCAAACATGCCGGCCGGGGTCCCCCTATCTCCGCCTTTGCATGCCTGGAGCAGCAAGGCCTTTGGGAGAGGGGGCACTGCATGCTCTCATTCCCATCAGTGGGCAGCTACCAAGGCCACTTGGGCTGTCTGAGCACCGGCCTGCGTCGCTTGATCACCCCCAAACCTGCAGCTTGTGGTTTTCTTTGTGTTTATACTCAACCTCCCTTCATTTGATGGTAGCAAGTGTCTTTCTCTGCCACTGAGCCACCGGTGATTTCTCTTGTGGCAGCTGCATTTTCGACCTCATGGAATCCTCACAAAGGAGAGACGGGGACGGTTCAGGAGTCACGACAATCACCCCAAGAGCTGCCCCCCCCCGTGAGTCACCGAGCGTCACCCCACCGAGGGGCGCGGGGCCTGCCTCTCGGGAGGAGCTCATCCCTCTGTCCTAGGGAGGAAGGAAGGACGTCCCGTGCAGCCATCACTCGCCAACGAGGGTTTTCAAGACAGCTTTCGGGGGCCAGCTCCTGCGTCTTGACTCCTCGGGGTCGGGGTGAGCGTCCCCACGGCCTCCCCGCGCCCTCGCGGCCGCGACAAGGGGCAGAACCGCCCCGCACCCCTTCGGGCTCAGCACCTGGAGCGGCCGCGCCTGTGCCTGCCAGGAGGGCTGGGGCCTGGGCCAGGGGCCCGTGGGTGGGGGCGCCCGCACGGGGTCCCCCCCCCCCGTGCAGGAGGGTCTCTCCTCCTCCCCTTAGGAGGGTCTCTCCTCCTCCCCCCTTAGGAGGGTCTCTCCATCCCCCACTTAGGAAGATCTCTCCCCCCTCCATGGAGGAGGGTCTCTCCATCCCCCCTTAGGAGGGTCTCCCCCACCCCGATCCGTGCGGGAGGGTCTCCACCCCTCCATGCAGGAGGGTCTCTCCATCCCCCCTTAGGAGGATCTCTCCCTACCCCTTAGGAGGGTCTCTCCATCCCCCCTTAGGAGGGTCTCTCCATCCCCCCTTAGGAGGGTCTCTCCATCCCCCCTTAGGAGGGTCTCCCCACCCCGATCCGTGCAGGAGGGTCTCCACCCCTCTATGCAGGAGGGTCTCTCCATCCCCCCTTAGGAGGGTCTCTCCATCCCCCCTTAGGAGGATCTCTCCCTACCCCTTAGGAGGATCTCTCCCTACCCCTTAGGAGGATCTCTCCCTACCCCTTAGGAGGGTCTCTCCATCCCCCCTTAGGAGGGTCTCCCCCCCTCCGTGCAGGAGGGTCTCTCCCGCCCCCGCCCGCCCCTCGTGCAGGAGGGTCTCTCCATCCCCCCGCAGGAGGGTCTCTCTGCCCCCCCTCGTGCAGGAGGGTTCCCCCCCCATGCAGGTGGGTCTCCCCGCCCCCCCAGGAAGGCCTCCCCCCTTCCCCCTCGGCCTGGGGACGCTCCGGTCCTCCTCCGCAGCCCCCCGCACGCCCCTCCCCCAAGCCCTCCCTCCCTCCCGCTTCCGCCGGCGCTCGGGCCGGGGGCGTGGCCAGGGAGCCCCGCTCTGCGTCAGCGGGTGGCGTGGGCCGTGACGTCACCGCGCCCTGACGTCCGGCCGACGTGCGGCGCGGTCTCCCGGGAGACCGGGGAAGCCGTTCGCGCCGCGGGTGGAGCTGGAGGTGAGCGCCCGGCCTGCCCCGCCCCGGGACGCAGCTGGCAGCCGCGGCGCCGCGCCCGGCCTCCGCCCCGCGCCCTCCCGCCCCCGCCGCGGCGGCCCGGGGGGACCCGCTGGGGAGGCCGCGTTTCCGGAGGCCTGCGGCGGTGTGGGCCGCTTCGGGGACGCCTCGGGGCGTGAGCCCGCCGCCCGGGCCCTGACCTCGCTGCGGGTGGTTCCCAGGGGGCGGGGAGCCCGCGACCCGAGGGCCGAGCCAGGGGCTGGGCGGCGGGCGGTCCGGGGCGTTCGCGTGTTCCCGGCACCTCCTGCTCCTGCTCAGGCGGCGGGTCCCCAAGCGCGTAGGCAGGTGCGCCCGGGGCCAGGGTCACCTGTGGGAACGGGAAGGCCTGACCCTGACCTGCTGGAACGCGCAAACCAGTGCAAGCGTGCCTGCCCCGGGCACGCGCCCTCTGCCCCTCGGGTACGCAGGGAAATCTTTTTAATGACCCAGGAGGTGTTTCTAGACGTGAGAGCCCCCCCCCCCTTTTTTTTTTTTGGAAATGCAGCCATCCGGGAAGCGCTAGCCATCCTGTGCCCTGGGATTGCACCTGCGGGGCCGGGGGCTCCGTGCTGCAGGTGGGTAGTGCGTAGAGCCATCGCCCTCAGCTCGACCTCATCACCCACCGCCCCTTCCAGGACCCGTGTGTAGCAGGCTGCATCGAGGACGAGCTGGCCGGTTCTCCCGAGAGCGTGTATGCAATTATGCAATGGTTGTGTCTCCACAGCGTGCAACAAACAAACCAACCAACAAACAAACCTTGGGATTTCTGTCTTTCTAGTCTCTTTAGCAGACCCGCTCTGATGTGCATCACAGTCTAATGAAACTGCTCATTCAACAACAACAAAAACAACGCGATTCTTTCTGCATTGTGGAGACATTTTCTGGGTTGGCAGTATTTCAATTTAAAAAAAAAATTTTTTTTTTCTTAAATGGTCAGAACCTGCCAAATTTCCCCACCTGCTATTATAGTGAGGACATCAAGAAGGCGCCAAACAAAAACTGCTCCGCTGGTCCCTTGTTTATACGGTCTCTAGATCCACGCTCTCATAAAATAGTTTTATGGGTGGAATTTAAAAAGGAGATCTAAATCAATCAATCAATCAATCAATCAATCAATAAATAAAGGAGATATAGTTGGTGGTTTTGGGGAACATTGTACTCCCACTCGAGCTTAATTAAGATGATGCCGTATTATTTTCCTGATGGTGAGTCCATTGTGAAATGACAGACGAGGGAATGATGAGCCTTCTGCGGATAAGGAGCTCTTGCCACATCAGAGACAGTCTGCCAAACATCAGGTTATTAAGTCATTGGCTATATGGACCTTCGTTGGGTATGTCAGTTAACTTTACCCCCATAGTTAACTCCATACCAAACACACATCGTGTTTATATGGGAAGTCAGCTCATTAGTTATTTGTTTTAAACAGCACCTCACTAAAATGACAGCTTTGTGCTAACGCGGGATGGAGAACTTTCTTTCCACCAGTGGCTGCACAATTAAAAAAAAAAAAATACTGCCACTACAAGAATTTTTGTCCACTACAGTTTCCCTAACAACTTGCTGCGGCTGGGGTTGCTGTCTCTGATAGAGTACTAGGCCTCTCCGGTCTGTCTATCTTTGTGTCAAAATCTGATGGAAAGCAAACAGCCTCGGGAAGCCTTCCCTAGTTCCCCATTCCCACCAGAAAGATAAGACAGTTTCCTTTCCTGAACTCCCAGGTTGTTCCTTGTCAACTACCCCTGGCCCTCAGACTTTCTTCCTTGCTTTGGGATTGTGCCTGTGTCGTCTTACTCTGCTGCTCCTTTCTGTTCCTCACTCCTCAGATGTACATATAAACATTTCTCATGAAACTGGGCTGTGTTTTCTTTCTCCGTATTTGGGAAAGATTAAAAAAAAAAAAAGAACCGAAAGTACTTCCTCCATTCACCTTGTACAGTTATATGAAAGTAGTGATAGAATTTTGTGTTGAATTCTTTTATTAGAAGTGAAAATGTACTAAAATAGCAGCATAAAATTATGTATATGTTCATCTTAAGTGAGCACTTCTCCTGCTTTGATCAATCTTTAGTGCCTGCATAAGATATTTAATTTGATAACTATTTTTTTCATACTCATCCTTTAAACCAGCATTTATGTCACAATTGTTTTTCTTACCTGCAGGACGAAAATGCCATCTTTAGATATTTTTCTGTTAGCTTTTTAGATTCTGCCCCCCTTTTATTAAAGAAAGCAGAAATAAATGGGCCTGCTTGAAATTTTAAGTGACACTTATTCTGTTTTTGCAAAACAAATAATTAGTAGAAAACCCCACAGAAATTACAATTAGACTCTAGTGTTCTAAAGAAAGAAAAGTTTTCTAATTCAGTTGTCTATTTTCTTTCCTGTTCTATTGGCCTAATACCTGAGAAAAGTTTTAGTTGTACCTTCTAACATCGAGTTGATAAAATAACTGTTGAAAGTTATCAACATTCATCTCTGACTACTCCCAAGAATTTATGACTTTTAATTTGAATTCTATTCACATTACTTTAATTCTGACTATTGCCATCAATGTTTTTAGATTATTTTACTTCAGAACTCCCTCACTGTATTTTGGGAAATTATGGATCGTCACATCCCCATGCATGCATTACCTGAAGAAATCCAAAAGGTATGATATTAGATTGGGTTGTTACGTGTAACATTAAGAACGCTTTAAGGTAGATAGTTCTAAAACCTGGGGGAATGATTTCAGAGGTTTTACACACATTATGTTTGGGGGATCTGCAATGAATTGATGGAGTAGTAAGGGGAATAACCATAATGGCCAGATTGTAGAGTTCAGTTCCGTGCAAAGAATGTTGGACCTGTGAAGGAAGACACCTGTAATTCCAGCACAGTATTTGACAAGTTTGTGGAGCTTTTGTGAAAAGAGGGCCTCTGGAATGTCCACGTATTATATTTTAATATTTGTCTAGCAGCTTTTCAGAAGAAGAAAAAAAAACCTTGTTTTTAAAAAAATGGAAATAGGGGCACCTGGGTGGGCTCAGGTCATGATCCCAGAGTCCTGGGATTGAGCCCCACATCAGGGTCCCTGCTCAGCAGTCTCCCTCTCCCTCTTGCCTTCCCCTTGCTTGTGCTCTCTGTCTCAAATAAATTAGATCTTAAAAAAACGGAAATACATGGGCCTGTTTTAAAATTTTAAGTGAACCTTAGTCTGTATTTGCAAAACAGATAATTCGTGGCAAATCGTTATAGAAACTACAATTAGTCGGTGACTTTTTGTGATGCTAAATGTTTGTCTCTCCATATAAAGGTCTGTTTCAGTTTCACCTCAATTCTTGCCACTTATCATGTACCGGGCAGGGCTCTGTTTTAAAACCTTTCATATGTGTCAACTACTCATTGAATTTGGCTAACAATCAATTTTAATTTAAAAGTTTCTATCCTACTCTCCTCCCTGTGAGTTCATTTCTGCCCTCAGGCCGAAGCATTTATCCTGTATTTTGTTTGGCAATGCCTGCATTAAGAGTTTAATTTTTAAAATACCTCTTTGAAACTGATTGACAAATTGTGTATTGAAACCTCAAACATTAACTATCATTAATCATTGAGGTTTTTCAGTAAACCTACAGTCAACTCTTAATTAACCACCAATCCGTTACTTTTTAATTAAAAGTTGCAGTCATCCCCCAGATATGCTTTTATCCTTTGTGCACGTTGCTTTGGGCCGCCTATTAGCATTAATCATTCCATTGATTTAACTTGGTGCCTAATGTTGCTGCATGTCCTTCAGATTTATGTAAAATGCAATCTAGCAGGAACTGGAAGAAAAAAACCCAGAAAAAGACTTTTTAAACCATTGCATTTAATTTGCTTTACCTTTTAAGTTACATATAAGAGCCATTAAGCACAGAGAGAGCTTAGCTATGCTATACTATCTGAGAAATGGTGCTTATGTATGTTTGAAGACATGGTATATCCTTCCTCTCTCTCTCAGCTGAGTTCGTTCCAGGTATCAGGCCAGTATAGTAGAAATTAAAAGAAACAGAACAAAACAGTCTGAAAGAAACAATACCCATACTACAAATCCCAAGGAAAAGGATATATAATCGCATGAAAAAATAACTCTAAAAGACAGTGTATAATATCTTAAATGTCATATTAAGGGGGGGCGCCTGGGTGGCTTAATGGTTGAGCGTCTGCCTTCGGCTCCAGTCATGATCCTGGGGCCCTGGGATCGAGTCCTGCATCAGGCTCCCCAGAGGGAGCCTGCCTCTCCTGCTGCCTATGTCTCTCATGAATAAATAAAATCTTTTTAAAAAGTGTCATTTGCGATAGTATTTTCTTTGATAATGGAGAGTTGGGGGGAGCAATCCATGATTTTGGGATGGTTGAGGGAGGGAGGAGCTTTATGTGGGAGATAGAACTGGAATTGGCCCTTGAAGGCTGAGTATTTCTATAGACAGATGGGGAATAGGGCATCCTAGGCCAAAGTAACAGAAACCTACCGGTGAGAAAAAGCTGGCCAAGTCACAGAATGTTGAACAATGTAAATGTTTTGCATACATGAAAGAGTGTATTAGTTTGACAATATTTTTTATGAGAGTTGTAGAATGCTCTTTTTTTTTCATATTTAAGGTACTGTATAATTGTTTAAAAATGATAAAGCCCAACCTTTCATAAGTCTACAGTTATATTCTCAAGGCAGGAATGGCAGGCAGCTGTCCATACAGTGCAGAGAAGGGACATCAGGAGAAACTCAGCTGCCTGAGTCCCTGGATAACTACGCCGATTGTCTGATTGTCGCCCTTGTCTTGCTGAATGTTTAGAATGTAAAGTGCAGCTCTGTACTTTTTCAGACCTAAGCTAGATACATTTATACCACAAATATTTATCAAGTGCCTATTATGCACTAGACACTATTCTTGGATACTTGATTAGAAAGCAAGGAAAGAAAATACATACATGTAGCCACAGCCTATTGAAGCACAGTCTAAGAATAAGTCAATTATTTGTTTTCCACAACTTCTTACCTTCCTGTGATTCATCTAGATTGTCCATAATGTAACTTGTTAAATTGCTTACTGATCAGCAGTATGTCTATGTAGTCAGCTTACCTGCGTCATTCCCACAGAACCATGTTGAACAAATAAATAGCTTATAATGGCAATAGGAATACTTCATATTAGAGCCATTTCATTATTTTTTTCAGTTTTTTATATTAAGTTTTTATTTTAATTCCAATGCAGTTAACATATGGTGTTACATTAGTTTTAGGTGTACGTTTTAGTGATTCCACAATTCCAGGACTATTTCATTATTAAGGTGAAGAAAACAAATCATTTTTTCCGCCGTGGCTTTGAAATTGTGCTCATTTCTTTATTAGATAAAGAAGTGGGTGAGGCGTGTGGATCAGTATGTGGTGACAGGTTTTCCAAAGGTTTTTTCTTTTTTAACTTTTCTTTTTAGCTTTTCATGTAAGTTTTCATGCTGGCTTTTCTTTCTGCTGTTTCCTTCTGTCTGTCTGTGTGTGTGTGTGTGTGTGTGTGTGTGTTGTATATGTAGGCAAGGTAGGTTAGTGTAGAAATTAGGGAAGAAAAGGTGAGCCTTTCCTATTTATTTTTTTTTTGTACTTTTGCTATATAATCTGTAAATGGATGATGCATGATAAAGAATGAAAATGTACCATACTGTACTATTAATAGCAAAATAAATAGTAATCGAAAGAGCTGCAAGAAAACATAAAGGTGGTGGGGGCGGGTGTGGAGAATGCTGATGGCAACCAGCTAGAGTTACAGAATCCATGTCCTGATTAGAAGCCTACAGTTGTTAAATTAACTACCCTGGTCTCATCTTCTTAGGAAATCTTAGAAAAGAAAGAGTAAGATAATCTTTTGACTTGTATTCCCTAAATCTTTCTGCTTTTACTCACAATTTCTGAGCATGAAATGCACCTCCGACATCCATATCCCTAAGTGGCAGAAAACGTAAAATAGGTCCGTGGGCTGAAGAGCAGGACCACACTTGCCCCCCCTCGCCTGCTGCTAGACTCTACGGTTCACTCCTGAGAGTGCTTAGACCATATCTCTAAATCTTCTCTCTAGACTGAGTTAACCCCCACCTGTCTCTGACCTCCAGTATGGAACAGCTTTGCTAGAATTTTCATCCAGCATCCTGAAAGCAGAATGCACTTGTTCTAATTGAGGATTTTACTGCCCTAGTTTAAACTGAAACAATACTTCGAGATCTGCAAAGTAACAATTCTTTATTCCCCTTCTGAATGTCAGCTGATGTTAGACATGTGTGGACTTTTCTTTTCAGAAAAAAAAGCAATGGACACCCTTTTAAAAAAGATTTTATTTATTTATTCATGAGAGAGAGAGACAGAGAGAGAGAGAGAGGCAGAGACACAGGCAGAGGGAGAAGCAGGCTCCATGCAGGGAGCCCGACGTGGGACTCGATCCCAGGACCCCGGAGTCACACCCTGAGCTAAAGGCAGACGCTCAACCACTGAGCCACCCAGGCGTTCTGGACACCTTTCCTTTTGCTGTTTCTGCAAGAGGACATATGCAGAAGTCAAAATAACTCCAATAAACTAATGGAAAAATCAGTTCTTTGCAAAAGTAAAACTGAGCTCTTGTTTTTTTCAGACGGTGACAACATGAACACTTGTAATAGGATTTTAGCTTCAGGAGATATTTATTCCCACAGAACACAAAGTAAAATAAAGAGACTAGAGTTGTTTGTTTTACCAAACAGAAGTGGTGGTGCAAGGGCTGGAGAGCACACTGTTCTTTCTGGGCTAACAATCCCTTTCCCTAGCAGCAACAGCTCATTTTGTCCTGTTTCAGTAAAGTAATTTTAGTACTTTGGAACTTTGAAATTTATTCAGAATAACAGTTTTATATTTCCAAGCACAGGTTGTCATTGCCAGAAAAAATAAACGTAATTTTCCAGGTCATTTTGGGCCACTGTGGCTAGGGTCAGATTTTGTGTTGAGTTAAAGTAGAGGAAAAAGGAGGAGGAGGATACAGTCACAGAAATGTTAGCACTAGCATCCTGGGAAAAGTAGTGATATTTGTAGATACTTGTATGTGGTTGTGAGTATGGGTGTTGTGATTTTAAGCAACTAGAGTTTTAAAACCTCATGGCAAAAGAAACAGGAAGCAATGTTAATTTTTGGAGAAACCATTCAGTTAATGTTGTGACCCAAGATAGTTCATTAGGAAAAAATGATTAAAAAAAATATTATAAGGAATCTTGAAAAATCTGCATTTGTCAATTGGTAGTCCGATATATATATACTTTTTTTTTTTTTTTTTTTGTCAAAAATACTTTTGTTGGCAGCCCAGGTGGCTCAGCGGTTTAGCACTGCCTTCAGCCCAGGGCCTGATCCTGGAGTCCTGGGATCGAATCCCACGTCCGGCTCCCTGCGTGGAGCCTGCTTCTTCCTCTGCCTGTGTCTCTGCCTCTCTCTCTCTCTTTCTCTCTCTCTCTCTCTGTTTGTCATGAATAAATAAAATCTTAAAAAAAATACTTTTGTTGACTGGCTGCAGGGGGTCATAGAGTGTAAGGTGAGGTTTCCCCATAGAAAAATAGGTATTAAAAAAAAAAAAGAAAAGTATTAGAAGACATACACTTTGGAAGAATATTTATATAAAATGAGTG